GAAACTCGGACAATGTGGGGCCCACGCACGGCGAGTGGGCTCTGAAGGAGTACTCCCTTTCCGACTCAACGTCTCTCAGGGTTGAAGAGGACCGGCGGGACTACGTTCTGTGCGTACTCAAGAGGAAGAAGGAGAAGACCACAATAACTACAAGTACAAGAGGTGGTGTTGTCCAACCCGTCGAAGCAGATTTGAGCTACCTAATGGCCACGCTGGCACCCACGTCACATGTCGGGGGTGATGGTGGTCATGTGGGGTCTCTTTACTATCCGGCAACAGCGACAGGTGGCGAGGTCATATGTCCGTCGAGTTTGCCGAGACTTCAGGATATTGAGAGTTGGCTGACGAGTAATGACGATGAGGTTTTGGAGGGCGATTCTTTTGACTTCAGAGACGCGGATAATTGGTTGCAGGCGAATGGGTTCCGTTGGTCGAGTGATTTGCCGATAATTGCTAGCTAGGTGTCCTTTCTTGTTTTCGATTATTGGGGTACTCTTTTTCCCGGTCGGAGGTTTTTCCCACACTGGTTTTACTTCGATCGGGTTTTAACGAGGCCCCGCTTCGCGCCATCTGGCCGGCGTGTTGTGGCCAGACCCTTCTTGTTAAAAAGAAAGCAAGGGGAAATGAAACTGTATTCTTTAATTGTAGAAAAAGTGTGTATTTGAACTTAATTTTCATTTTTTTATGTTCTTTAAGCCAACTTCACAATCAAATTCTTTCTGGTGTTCATTGAGATCAACATGATTTTAGAACATGTGCAAGGATTGTAGTATTGGTAACTTTAATTTCAAAAGCACCTTCATTTTCTACTGTTAATTTGATTACTGCTTCTTGTCTCTTTAGCAAATTGATTATTTTATAGTCATTGTCGTGCATGATTTATTGCCACATAGGATTCCGAAGCGTGTGAATCTACCATTAAAGGATATATATAAGCATTCTTTAGCAATGCACAGGTCTTTTCATTTAACGTATTCCAAGCATCGAGCACGTGCCTCTCCTCCGTCAAAGGCGCCCCAACTGCAAATCTCATCACATACATGTTTGACAGGACCTAAACCATTTTAAGATTAAGTCAGAAGAAGTATAAATCGGTCCAAAGGAAACAAGTAAATCTCTTTCCTCTGTTCCCTTAATCATGTTTGTTTCTTACGAAAATGCTCGTGGAACTATGATTAGTTTCAAGATTTGTGGCGTATTTGTATAAATGTAGCTGGATGTTCCTTCTTCTACATGCTTTTGGAGGGCGATTGTTTTGACTTCAACGACTTGGATTATTGGTTGCATTCGAACGGGTTCCACTGCCAGGTACACTGATCGGCCGCAAAATCGGAACAGGGACGTGCTTGAGTGATGTGCCGATAATTGCTAGCTAAGTGACCATTTGATATTCTTCTTATTTTCGATCGGGGTACTCTTTTTCCCGGCCGGAGGTTTTTCCCCAAACGGGTTTTACTTCGACCGGGGTTTGAAGAGGCCTCGCTTTGCGCCATCTGGCAGGCGAGTTGTGGCCAGACCCTTCTTGTAAAAAAAGCAAGGGGGAGTGATTATGTATTCTTAATTGTTCATAGTAGTAGAAAAGTAAACTGAACTTAAATTTCTTGTTATATGTTCTTTTTGCCAACTTAACAATCAAATTCTTCCATTTAAATTCACTTATTCTCGACATATTTGAATATTATGCATAGGCATATATATATATATATAATGTAAGGAGATAACAAATTCCATTCACTGGTAAAATAGCAAGAGCCTTCAGACAACACAACATAAAAACACAACATAAAAATATGCAAACAAGGCTCAATTAGCTCTAAGCATTCTTTAGCAGTGCACAAGCCTTTTCATGTAATGTATATTCCGAGCATCGAGCACGTGCCTCAATTAGCTCTAAGCATTCTTTAACAAGGTTGGATGCACAAAGAAGAACCCCAATCAGGAAATGAAATCATAAAAAAGGTACTTACAGTTATATCAACTATAATTAAGTATGACCTGAACAAGATAAATAGACAGGAGAAGGTTATGTCTTATGAACATTGTAATGACCATATTAAAACAAACCGACTAAAACCAATTCTTGTGATACTCACTCGCAATGCCCATATTATCACTCTAGATGAACACAATTCACAAGATTCATCGTAGCTCAGTAAAGCAAGGAGATAAACAGGTAACCGAGAACAAAGAACACAACATTCAAAACGACCACCACTTTACAAGGAAAAAGGGGAAACACCTTATATTCCAGTTCCGGGCATTGTAGGATTCTGTGGAGGAGCTAAAGAAAAATGTCTTATTCAAAGTCGTTGTTGGTTGGGGGAGGGATGGTCTGGCGTCGATCGTGACATCAAGGCGCCGTGGGTTTCCGCTATTTCTGGTCCAACTGTTGTGTTAGTCTTTGGTTGTGCATCCTCGTCGATCTTCCAGACGCTGATCTTATGGTTATGGATGGCAGCGTAAACTCTGTTTTTGTAGACCGGCGATCGATATCACAGCGCCGAAGATGTTTGCGACAGGGGTGAGATCGGAAATTATGGGGCACAGTAAAAATATGCTCCTCACAATGGTAGCTGAACAAGTAGGAAACTAGGAAAATAAGTGTCCAAAACATAGTTACAGAAAAAATTTCTTCACAAAACTTAAAACACACACATAAGCGAATGATTAAAAATGTGGGAGAATTAGTTATTAGTGAATATATATTAAAATAATATTTAAATAAAATAATTAAAGTTGATTTAATGTAAAATAGGAGAAACATGATTAGAAGTGATAGTTAGTTAAAATTATGTGTGTGGATGAATAGTGAATTAAAGTTAACGTGATGTATAAGAATGATTGTTTGATACTATTTAATTATATTGATAGTACAAAGCAGGGATATTTTAGTCAACATAAATAATAAAGGCAGTAAAACAACATCGTTTTGTTGTTTGAAATCATAGCAATAGTGCTACGTGACGGCATCGAGAAAAGTCTGAAAAAAGAAAGGCAATGCAGGGGCAGCAAGTGAAAAAAGAGGGCCAATGCAGAGGTATTTTAGTCATTCGAAAAATGCCACATGTCAAGTTATGGATACCTCATGTGTAGGAGAGATGAGCAAAATTTTGAGAGAATTGTTAGTCCCGTTACGGTACCATCCTGTTGGCTGTTTTAACTGTTGGATCACCCCGTACGCATTCTTTTTATTTTTAAAACTTTATAATATCTTTGTTTCTATTTTAATCATCTTCGATTTGACATCCATATTATATATAAAAACTAAAAATATTTTCATCTATTTTTTTTTTCAAAACGATAGATAATATTATAAATCAAAATGTACAAATGTGCGAATACACAACAACTAACGGCTGAAAAAGTGGGAGGACAAGTCAGAAGACCGCCTAGAATCCCGACGCTATCAAAGCTAGAATAAGAAAACTTGCAACTACACAAACAAAACTAAAACCAAAAAGATCCCACCGAGATAATACCCGAGCGTTTGATCCCAACATAATAATAAGTTGACACTCGGGTTCACAGGGGCCAAAGTAGGCTTCTAAACAAATCAATTTTTTTTATTCGATATTTGTGATTCGAATTCGAATACGAATAATATTTTATATTCGAAAGTTAAACGACCGAATTCGAATTTGTAGATATTCGATCCGAAATTCGAATATTCGATTCGTTAACAATAATTATATAAACTTTATAAATTATATATAGTGTACATTTTGTTTATAATATATATGTATATATATTGTTATATTCCTACTATTTTTATGACAGAAAAAGTAAAAACATCATAAATTAACAAATTTTCTAAAAAATATATGAAAAATATTTTTTCTGTAATTATAATAATTTTTAATTATTTTTATTAAATTGAATTTTGAATCGAATGGAATATATTCGAATATTTTAAACGAATCGAATACGAATCAAAAAATGAGTTCGTTAATGAATCGAATACGAATCTGAATCTTCGAATATTTTAACGAATCTGAATCGAATCTCTGAGCATTCGCTTTAATTCGATTCATTTACTACCCTAGGTCAAAGGCCCAAACCAAAAACACTGATCCTAGAAAATGACAAACAAGACAATGCAAAACAAATAAACAAAAGAACTACGAACAAAAAAT